GTGGAACACAAAAAAATCAAATTTCAGTCTTATTTTACATTTTTTTCATTCTTAGGAATGTCTAAATTCAGTTAAACTAGCAATTCCGTATTATATTTATAAATCTTTATAACATTATACAAAAATTAGATTTTTCTTAAAGATTGAAATTTTGCCGGGAATGGGGCTTTAAGTTTCTTTATAGTATCTTCAGTCAAGGCAAGCCCATCGATTCAAACTCCTAAAGAAATTAAATATTTCGTATATCCAGTTTTAATGTACAATTCTCCTCCCAGTGTTTGAGTAATTCGCCATACATCTCCTAGTCTTGCCCTGCCATATCCATTGAGGATATTCTTAAAGCCCCATTCCCGGCAAAATTTCAATTTTTAAGAAAAATCTAATTTTTGTATAATGTTATAAAGATTTATAAATATAATACGGAATTGCTAGTTTAACTGAATTTAGACATTCCTAAGAATGAAAAAAATTTAAAATAAGACTGAAATTTGATTTTTTGTGTTCCACACAAAAAATAAATGCGGATGAATTTTTCATCGTGATTTTGCGATAGGTCGTGAGAAGAAATATCGTAGGCGCCGAAAAAATTAGCCTATCCAACACTGCTGGCTAGGCCTAGCCTTACCTCGATTTTAGGTTCTGTTATCACACATAAAAACGGCCGACATGATATTTTCCGTTGCTAGTATTGACACCTGTGAAATATAATATTTCATAGGAATTATTTCAAATTTGTTAAAAAACTGATTCTGACTGAGATTTTGACACTTAAACAAACATATCTCAGCCTAACCGAACGACCACATTGTGCGAGATGCGAAATACAAAAAGTAATCTCACTAGAGAGGGCGCACTCTATTGACTGTATAAAGTATACATAAAAGTGAGAGTATTTCAGTGGATGCGATGTACAACCTCTGAATTTGCCTAGTAACGATGAATTCGTCGAGAAAATGGTAAGATTTTATGAGAAATAGTCTGTATTTCTCTTTTTTTTTTTATTCTTTTGCTTAAAACTAAAATTCATGCCAATATTTTTCCATGATTTATAATAATTGGAGTAATGCAAATGCATATTTTCTAAAAAAAGTCATTTTTAGTGAAATTTTGCCGGGAATGGGGCTTTAAAGCCTCATCTAAACTGTCTAATTTCAAAGCCCCTGGTCCTGATGGTCTCAGCAGTTTTTGTGTGAAGGTCATTGTTCCTCATTATGCTGTTTTTCTTTTGAAACTTTTTACCTGCTCCCTGGATTTCTGCATTATTCCCTCTATATGGAAACACGCTATTGTTCATCCTATCTATAAAGGCACTTTCCAAACGTCCTTTCTTAATTATTGTCCGGTCTCTATCATTTCTCCATTTTGCAAAATTAGAAGGAATCATTTCGTCCCAAATTTAGGAGCAGACCTCTGTTTGTATTTCAAAATATCAGTGCGGTTTCTTCAAAACAAATCTGCTGCTGACTCTCCTTTGCATCACTTACAATTTATATCATTCTGCTGATGAATCTTTATGTTCTTGCCTTTTAACCTCTTTTTATTGTCAGAGATCATCATCATCATCATCATTGGTGATCCGCTTCACGAGCGACATATTAAGTAGGCATAAACTTCGGGTCAACGTTGAAGAAGTCATGTATCTTAATTTTCTGTGCACATGTTATAACGTGCGCGTACGCGTGCGTCAAAATTAATATACACTTAGAAATCATGCCTATTTTTAATCAGTTATAGCACCTTAAGAAGAAAGGTGCCCCTAATTTTTATTACATATTCTGAAAGCACATGAGCTGTAGATATGATTTTATGGATCATTATGGCTGATCGGACATTATGACGTCATCATATTACCATTTGAATTAAGAAAAAACTGAATTTTTATTTTAATGACGTTATTACTTTTTATACTCGTTTGAACGTATCTCGCTTATCTTGATTGATTGTCTCCCACCTGTGAGTATGTTACAGCTAAATCAAATCTCTTTCGGACGTGTCCCTTTATTTTTCATTTTGATCACGTCAGCATGGTCAAAAAGAATGAATTTTTAGAGCATTCTTATCTCTCATTCTTAAAAGATGTAAAAAATAGAACACATGAGGGCGGCAGACTGTATTTCGACTCTATCAGACTTTAGTTTAGGTTTTTTACGAAGGGAAAATTCCTGTGGCATTAATAACTAACAGACGGTTTTAAAAACATGACAATATTTAATTTTTCGTGTGCCATTACTGTACACGCACACATCGTGACGTGTGCGTATGTTAAAATTTCAAAATTCTCAATATCACTATTCAGATAGTTTAAACGTTTCGGGTCATTTTCTGCATTTCAAAACTTTCCGTATTTACGCGCCATACGTTCATTTCCACGCACACAGAACGTACTGAAGCTGGAAATCATGTTTTGTTGCATATTTTGTGGTCCTGACACTGTATTTATGTCAGGAGTCACTCTTTGTCCCACTACCGTGCTCACGGGCGTCAAGCCGTACGTGTACGCATGCGTAAATCTTTTAAAATGCTGAAAATTATTCTTTTTTAAAACACTAGTTGTACAGAACATTTTAGCATATTATAAAACTTTTTAATCAGCACCGCACGCGCTTTATAAGGGTCAAAGTACGGCGGATCAACAAACTCCTCTTTAGTGAAGAGTTCAAATCTAGTTATCATTATTATTATTAATATTATTATTATTATTATTAGTTGCTGTGAAATGAAGGACGAATAAATACATAATATGTTTATACATAATATTTTTGTAAAATGAAGCAAACTTGTCCACGAACTCATTCATGTTTATTTTCAATAAAGGGAAGTTGAGAAAGCATTAACACTAATTTTTTTTGCTTCAAAGTTTCAAATGAGGGAGCGACTGGGGGGGGGGCGCAAGCTTTTTGTGGGGGGGCGTCCACTCCCCACCCCCTTGGATACGCCACTGCTTGATAGGTGAGTTTACAAAATAAGACCGGACTTGGCCATGGCCATAAGAGAGGGCCATCCATGCTGTTGTTGTGTTCAGCCCAGGGATCAGCCTAGACTGCATCAGGACACTTCCCTCTCCACTCATTTAGGCCAATGAGTCAAATAAATAAATATATATTAAAATAATTTTGTTATTAAGGTCTTGTTTATGATAATTTTCAATGATTTGACAGTCTTGTGTCAGACCTACCTGAAGTTTTAAAATGCAATTTTCACCATAGTCCTAGCTACAACAGACTGGTGTGTGTTGGGTTGACATAATACCATGAAGTTGAATACCAGCTTATAGTGCATTAGAACCCAGACCAAAATTCTTTAATATAGGCCTAGTCACTCATCCTAAAAATTACAAGAGAAAAGGGAAAGTGACATCAAACAACTTGAATACATACTGCAAATACATCAACCATCATAATAATGTACAGTATTTGTATATAACTGAGCAGTATTATCTTTATCTCCAGACACTGAGCTATTAAATTTAATCGATTTAGGGCTAGAATCATATGTAGTGTACACTACACATTTTTTATTAATACAGGTAGGGCATAGACTAACTTTCCTCAAATAGAATACAAAATATTCTCTCAAAAGATGTTGTCTCAAATTAAACAAAAATAGATGATGCATAGAAGACTGGGCCTCATAATTTAATGTATGACCAAGCCAGACCGAAGCCAGCTTTCCCACTTAGGTATAGACCTAGGTCTTAGCCTAAGACTAGACATCTGGCAGTAGGCCTAGATACGAGGCAATTTATTTTTAGGACAACCAATATGCCTATATTCAATTCTACTACAAAATGTGGCTAATAAAACGTGAGCCTACTGTAATAAAAGTACCGAATAATCCATTGGTTCTCTATCACGGCTAGCTCACTCGCGATCAGGAAGAGTGTAAACATCTTGTCAACAAACCTCTTCAGATATCTCCATAACAACCCCAGATATCTCATTATATGTATAATTAGTGAAGCAAACTGAATTTAAATTAACTTTCTTCCAACCGTCGCGATACAACAGTCATGAGAATTTTTCGAACTAATTTATCTGTTAATTAACGAAACGATTTTTGGATCAAATGCAGCAAAATGGCCAATTCAAAGTTTAATTTTGTAAACCTTCATTTTTTGTGTTAGAAGGGACAGTACAACTTTAAAAGAAAAAGTATCAGAATGATATTTTTTTTCAATTTGTAGGTGCAGATTATTTTAGAAAACACAAATTCCAAGCTGGATTCATACTTGAAATGGAAGGAAAATGAAGCTATCTTCTGGAACTGGATGGTAAGGCAAAATATAGATTTATTGTTACCTGCACCTTTAATAGTATTGTTAAGGATTTTATCTCAACTTTGATTGCAAGATAAATTGTGCATTAAAAATATATTTATTAAACAATTTTTACCTTTGTTGGTTTTCATATATATATTATCATATTTTCTCTTCTGTTTCTAATCAATTACATGCAGCACGTGATGTTTTTAGCCTACTATTTACAACTGATTTATCTGGATATATTTGTGGGGTTTTTTGGCCTAGCTTTAGGCCAATTTCCAATTACCAATTTCTCAATCTGCTTTCTTTCCCATTCCATTAACATTCCCATTATCAGTCAGAGGAGAATGTCAGGACTTAGTTCTCCATTCTGCCTTTTTGTATAAATATGAATTATATATATTTTTTAAATTGAGGAGTTCATAACCATAAACCATAATATTTTATATATTTGGGTTCCAACACAATTTTTGCAAATATTCATAATCAGATATAAAGTGATTTTAATGTTTGTTATGTTGAAACATATGAAGGAAATCCTGGCCAAAAATACAATTTGAAATGTACAACGTACTCACAGAAATAGACAATGTACTTGCACAAACATACAACCTACTCAGAGAAATAGACAACAAACTCACAAAAATATACAACGTATACGTACAACGTTCACACAAATGACTTACACAAATAGACAAAACACAAACCAGAAACATAAATGTACATCGTACTTGCATAAACATACAACGAACTCCGAATACCAAGAATTGTCCACTTTTGGTAAGGGTTAAACACCAAGAAAAAAAAAGACAAAAAATAAGAATTTGTTGTTCAGTTTAAGTGAGGTTTAAACACTAAAAACATATTGTAGTGTACTGTAAATGGACAAATCAGAGCACAGTGTAACTATGACCAAAAGTAAAGCACAAATTTGCATCCTTCAGTGTTAGGCTGCTGTGGACATGAAGTGATGCTCAGGGGAGGAGAAAGTTATTAAAAAGTGCAACATCTAGTCCCGAGCTCATAGAGACCTTGTTTATCTGCGCTATAAATCCATCTATTATCATTATTATTTTTGTATTCAATCGGCATTGCATCAATTCGATGCTATGTAGGAAATGTATATATTTAGGGGTATCCCCTGAAATTTTACCTTTAATTGCTGAAGCTGCAAAAGTTATAAAAGAAGAAAATTGGCAGCAGCGTGAAAGTGAACATGAGGCCTACAGGTGTTTTTTTGGATCTAGGATCAAACTAACATCAAGGCTTACTGTACATCAAGGCCCTAGCTGATTATAACTGAAGAACAGATTTTTTTTTTTTAGGCAAGTCTAAAGGTATCTGAAATGAAAAATAAGGTGTCGGTATTGGTATCTGACATTATTTCATGTAGGAGATAGATCAACCACGTCTTTTGGAGGAAAATACTTGAAGTTTATATAAAATAACAATGGCTGAAATATGTGCCACGTGTTAGTGTGTACAAACTAAAACAATTCGAAAGCAACATTCACATTTTTTCCCAGCTATTTCAAAAGAATTTGAGTGCAAAAATTGTAAAAAGAACTCTAGGCCTATATAGCTAGGCCCTTATCAGATAATCTTTTATTGCCAAAAATGAAAACATAAACAAACACAAAGACAGTCATCTTAGGGTGCAGGCAGGTCTTAGGTGCAACTAAAAGTGAACTAAATTACTGTAACAAAAGTTAAGATTCCTTACTTCCAAAGTAACATAACAATAAATATGTAAATATATAGATGCTGTATTTAAAAACTCATACTGTACAAGATTATCGTATTATTAAGAACATTAAAACTGTAAAAATCGGGCAGTTCAGCTAAACGAAAAAAAAAAAGGGGGATGAAAAAAATGAAAAAAAGAGAGAACCATCCGACATGTGGTGCAATGCAACTAAGTGGAGGGACTATAGTGTAGGACATGCAATTTAAGTGAAGTTTTTTTTTTTTTTTTAATTTATTTCCAAACCAACAGCGAAAATCGCCACTTGCAGGATGGACATTATTTTTATTTATTTATTCAGGTATAAAAAGGCTCAAAATATAATTCCAGATTGAAATGAAGAGCTTACATAAAATCAGTGAAGTAAAAATACAGAAATATAAAACCAGCAATTAACATTTAAGAAAAATTTCAAATTACAAATAAATTTAATTATTTATTATTTACAATTAATATTAAAATTTCAATCAGCATAAATTGATTAATTAAATCAATTAATTAGAATTTTAAGTTATTAATATATACAAATCTCATTAAAAACAGTTAACAGTCATAGCCCTATTCGAACAATTATATTAAAAAACACATTAAAAAAATCAATAAACAAAACAAAACCAGTTCAATTCAGGAAGTACATAAAACTCTAAAAATACTGAAAAACAGTTAAGACAATCAAAAGTACATTCTTAACTAACAGCAACCCCACCAAGAACAAAGAATCAAGAAATAAAACACATTTACAAGGGCAGCTTAAACCTAAATACTTTTTAACATGAAAGATCAGAAATGTTTAAAATTGTTAAAAAAGATATCAATGTTACTATTTTCAGAAACAATACGATTGTAAGAAGAAGGTAACCTAGAAATAAACTCTGTTTAAAAATACAAACACGACTGAAAGGAACATCAAAAACATGCGAATACCGTAACACTTGACAATTAACATGAAGACATTAACACATCTAAACAAAAATAATGGTTTTTGGTTTTATATTTATATAGCGCCTTCCACGATCGAAACCGTCTCAAGGCGCTTGAAAAATATATGTGAATAATGTATGGAAATAAATTTGACCGGAAATAACCTAAACTACATAAAATATTTCACCAGCAAATTTAAGGAGTTTGTAAATCATCCAGTCCACACGCCTTGGCATTTTTTAGTTTTGAGACCGCAGAGTTTAACCTCCTGATGTTATAGGATTGTCTAGAGACATTGGATCATAATCAAAAGGTTCTAAACCAGGTTCATCTCCTGTAAGATGTTCATAAAACAATTCTCTAATCATGTTTGCTTTATTTTAATCATTATTAACATATTCTCCATGTTCATTTTGTATTCTTTCTTACTGGTTTTCCTCCTTTTGAATTATTGAGAATCCTAATCGCCTAAAACATTTTTTGTGAATCATCAATATCTTTTATGATACATTTGCTTTTTCAGTTTCTATTTTTTATATATATATATATATATATATATACACACATACACATATATATACAGACACACACACACACACACACACACATA